TGTACATTAACAGAATCCTCAACTTACTGTATACACTTCTGCAATGCTCGAACAAAACAACATGAACAAGCTTTACTCTTGTAAAGGCAATGATGTTATTCCTGTAAAACTGAGGTTTGTTCTTTTACAGATGATTCAGGCAGAGTACTCATGATGAACAAAAATAGTGAAATGGGCAGCAACTGCCTAGTTCAGAGTGACATTTGTAGAGAAAATCTTGGAAGACTAACCTACAAAAGGTTGAAAGGATGAAATTTCAAAGGCTTTCCATCTTTGGTCTTCCAGTCAGCTTGCACTGGTTTTTGAATACTCCCCATGCCATCGCTTTTTTTTGCACACACAGGGTACTACTTGACATAACATTCACAATTCAAAAGATTTCACTGAACTCAAAGGCCTACATATCAGATCCCAGAGTGTCCTTGTCAGTTGTGATGTCACAGGCCTATTCACTAATGTTCTAACTACAGATATCTTCTGCATCACCAAACAGTAGCTATTCAGTGATAGCTGTGTTACATACAGAACTGACATGAAGACAGAAACTATTACAGAACTACCCACACTATATTTACAACCCACATATTTTTAAAAAAACAAAGATTTATTTTAATAAACAGATGGCCATGCCATGGGTTCACTGCTCTCAAAAGTTTTAGCATACGTTTTTGAAGAAGATTTTGACAAAAACCCAGCTTTTAATAATGTTACATTCACAATACATTTATCATCTCATCTCACAATCATGAGAACTTATTAGCTTTCTTACAACACCTTAACTCTGTAGACAATGGAATCCGCTACACTGAGGAATTAGAGAACAACAGCCTTGACATTTTCACCAGCAGATAGGATGACAAACTCACTATAACCATATATACAGGAAACCAACTCATACTGATAGATACTTATATTTCCAGCCTTACCATCCACCTTCTGTTAAACACAGTATTATTAAGTGCTTGAACAACAGAGCTGAAAACGTGTTGAAAAAAACAACAATCAAAGCCAAATGCAGACACAATCATAAAGTGTTTTAAATATAAAAAAATATCCTTCTAGCTTCATTGCCAATAACTTGAAGAACATATAAATACCAACTATTATAATAGACAGGAAAAACAAGACCAACACTACTTACTTCCCTTACATGCAAAACATAAACAAGAAGATCAAACTTGTAGCCAGATCTATCCTTGCCAAAAACTAAATAAATGGCAACTGGTGACAAAAAACAAAAATATCATTTATGAGATACCATGTTCCTATAAAAAGACCTACACTGGGGAAAGCAAAAATCATTTCTAGGCAAAAAAACAAAACAACAACAAAGACTATACACGACTAATGAACACACAAAATTCTGCCCTGGCAGTTTATACCTTGTTTGTAGAACATAAAATAGACTGGGACAATTACACACACACTGACTCAAGTAAATTCTGGAAAACAACTTTTTAAATCGTTGACAAACAGAGACTCAAATCTGGAAGTCCACATTGATCAAGTCATCACTCATTCCACCAACCACAAGAATGGTCATTCAATGATGTCACATCAACCTCAATCCTCCCAGCCCCCAAATACCATATAAACCCCCTGCAAAAACCAGTACATGCAGATCTTAAAATGGAAGGCTTTCAAAACGTTGTCCTTTCCACGTGAAATCTTTGTCCTCCAAGAATTTCTCTACATTCTTAACCAAGCAGTTGCTGCCCATTTCACCACTGTTCAAAGCTTGTTGTACAAGAAGTCTTTGCTTAATGCAAGTTAAAACATAATTTTCCAGAGAGAAAGAAAACATCAGAAATTGTTATTTTATTACTTATTTTGTATACGTTATTGATTTCTGACAGAAGAATGAATTCAAAGAGTGAAATAAACAAACATGTACTTTTATTTGTAAACACATCATAGACAAATTTATAAAGCACAGGCTAGTAGACATGGATTCAGTTAAAAATACCAAGAAGATTCCAAATACCCTGGTCGTATACAGGGTATGGGTGATTTTGGCCCTTAATCATGTAATATACAGTTTCAAGTGTTGAATTTTCATTTAAAGTTGGTGCTTATGTTTAAATAAGCAAGTAATTCTAAGTTGCATCCTCCACCATAGGACAAAGCCAAATCAGTAGCTAAGTTCCTGTGACTGTCATTTCTATGTACATAATGGTTAGTTCTAAACAAGTTCTTTAACCATCACATGTGAGATTAGTAGCATTCTTTTAACAAATGTACCATATTTACTTTGGCAATAGCAGTATCTAAGAAACACACAGTGTAGAATGGATTTAATTAAAATTATCATACATCAAATAGTTTCTTCATAATCAACCAGAGTCCCTAAACATCAATACAATTGATAAATGACAATTAGGAACACTTACAAATAAGGTGAAGATTTTAAATAAAAGGTTGTTTTTCTTCTCTTTCACTCAAACTCTATGCCTACTGTTCCTGAGACAATTTTTGGGTTATGTATTTTTTCTTTGATGACCATGAATTTTAAACAGATACTGAAAACATGGCAGTGAAAAAATAAAGAACTCCACATGTGTATTTTCAGTTATCAGAAACTCACAGAGATACACTAATAAACGTTCTGATCTTAGTCACATAATACCAAACTGGAAATATTTCTATATATATCAGATTGGGACTGTTAAGAAAACAGATTACTACTGAAACAAAAATTAAGTGTATTCCATACTCATCCAAAGTCTAAACATATAGGCATTAATATTTAACATACATAGTGTTTTGCAATCTTGTAAATTTAGATTAACAGTTATCATATATCGTGCTCTATTCAGTGACATATCCGTGGTCTCTATATAAAGGTCACCTGAATACATTTTGATATTGATAAAGTACTGGATAAGCAAAGTAATAAAAAATTTAAAGCAACTGAATACCTTCCTCAGTCTAGGAATATCACATGATAGGTTCTCTCTAATGTTCTTTAAATATAATTCTAGGTGTACAAAAGAAACTAGCAGTTGAAGCAATTCAATGTGCACTGGTTACATTTTGCTTTGCTGTATTAAACAAGGTCACTGTCTGAACTTTATACAATTTCCTATTTTACACAGATCTTATAACTATGTTTTCACATAAAATTCTCATACCATCTGTCAGGCTTTAAACCTGCATTCTAGGAACTACAATAGCATTTTCTTAAACATGCCACTACTGTTTTAATCCACAGCATAGGAATAGACAGAAATTCACATAAATTTCACTGTACATTATGCTTCAGATATGCACCCTTGTCTTAATGTATCAGAAAATTTTGTATAATAACAGTTGTATTTCATACTAGTACTACAAGAACTAAAGAATTACAAACTTACAAATGAGTATGACATAGAACTTGTTTTCTTAACCCTTTTGCAATGAGTACCCCTTTAAACACTTTTCTGCACAAGTCACTGAGTTACATTTAAAATTTAATAAAATAACTTTACAATCAATGTATGTGAATTAAATTAACATAATTATGCATGTTATGATTCAAAATTTTATGTTATCTAAGTTTTAGTTCCTTTATTTTAAAAGAAACCTTTAAAAAAATACTTAAACTTCAGTTTCGTGTTGTTACGTGATACATGAGCTGTAAAAAATCTCCACTTTTACACTATCTTGACTCAGATAATGGCAGTCCTGTAGATTTATGTCTGGACAATTAAATACATTTACTTGCCATATTGACATGTAGGTTTCATAGTTTTCTGACTGAATATAGTAGAAACAAGTAATAAATTTTGTCAACCTCTGAAAGGTGCCATGCCCACCTTCTATTCATATACTTGAGCTTTATAACTTACATGCTGTTGCTACATATACATGTTTATAGTCATTAGAAAGAGCTCACTTTACACAATAATTCAACAATGGTTATTTTGAAATTGGAACACAGTTGTCATTATTGGGTATATGTAACTGCCTATAGTATTGTTGGCTGCTTTATTGATGACAACAATTAGTTTTTTTCTTAGCTAAATATATTATAGTTAGATAGACAGTTAAATTGTATTTAGGTCTTACTTTTATATCTTAGTTAGTTATGCATTATTTATGTTTTAAAAAACATAATTGAAAGATTTAGACATTTTTTAAATACACATCATACTTTGTGTCAGCTCTCAAGGCTTAAGATTTTGTGCAAGGGGAAGATAATTCTGCTGAAAGCTTGTGTGCCTCTGCTGAAGAAACTGCACTTACACCACAAGGGCACTATTGACTTGTGCCAAGTTGAGTAATAAAAGGTAAAGGACAGGAAAGGAAAATAAAACATTAAAAATTAACTATATGTGAAAACGAAAAGACCTGAAATTACGAATATAACCAAAAGAGGATCTTTTAAGATATTCTATGAAAAATTAAGATGTATGTATATTTTTTTTATTTCTTAATTTTAAACATTTCATTGCACCATATGTTGATGATAATATCCACAGTTAGTGATGTGGTAGAAAAATAAAATATAAACATTTACCTTTAAAAAACGTTTGACATTTATTTAGGATGTTCTAGAGCAGTGCTAGTGAACATATGGCACACACGAAAATGTTCTTGGCACACAGCATTCACTACTGTCCCAAGTATTTTTTGTTACTCGACCAATACATACACATCTATATGAAGCCGTATATGGGCACGGGAAATAATTTCTCTGAAAATTATTGACAATTTGGCCATATGCTCTTAAAAAGGTTTGCCAGCCCTATTCTAGAGGTTATGCAAATGAAATATAAAAACTATAAGATGAAGAAAAGTATTTTTATATTTAAAATGAAAATCACCTTGCACTAGTTAATAGTTTGAGCACAAATAACTACAACAGATGACATATTTTTTAGTTGAAGTACTTAATTAAAATAATGTCATTCTTTGTGTACAAGATACTCATAATGTTTAACAATATCTTACCAGTTTTTGTGATGATACATTAAGAAATCTCAGAATTACAGTATTGTTGCACAAGTGAAATTCCCATACGAACCCCTGCAACTTGCAGGCATCTGTACCGAAAGGGCTACAGGCTTTGTAGGAACATTCTAGAAAGTAACCCCCAAGTTTCAATCCCTTTTATGTCAGTAAAGAAGTAATTAACCTTTTATCATCTCCACCCTTATATTTACACATGCTAGACATCATCTCCACCAGTACATTTACCCAAATTATGGTAAGGGAAAAAAAACCTTCCAAAGATGATAAAGGGTTAACATAAAAGAAAAGTGTCAGAGGAAGTATTTATCCCATTATTTTTTTCAGCATAAGAACACATTTTCAGATTTTTCAACTCACCTGCTCTGAGTACTACTTCTTTAGATGAAGAAACCAGGGCTTCTTCTTCTTCAGTTGGCAAAATCCATTTGTCCTGCTCTAGTTTCTTTAAAATCTTCTTTGGATTCAAAATCCATAACTGCTCTGGACTATGAATCAAGAAAAAACTGTCACTCTTTAATTACTAAATCATTGCCTCACTGTATTTAAAAACATTTAACTTAAAAACAAATTAATCTAACAAAAGTCTGTCAAAATTCTCTTAAAATAGTAATCTCATCTAAAAAGACTAAACAGCTGGTTCATATCAAATGGAGTTCTATTTTGATATAAATGTTAGAACAATGTTTCAATCTGATAAACCAGCTAAGTCCATCAAAATGACAATCTGCTGTTTGTTCTCAAAATGTTTGTCCATAGAACCATCTCCAAAGAAAACTAAAAGCACATTATAAATGCTTTTACTATGTGTGTGTGTCAGTGTGTATTTTTCCCCTCTAATATCAAATAATTTACATAGTGTAATGTGATATTCTGCTTCAACCTAGTTCACTGCTGAATATGAAATGACTGTTAAGTATGATGCATTGTACCACTTTTCAAATATTATTAGAAAATATCTTTTCTCCTTCAATCATTTACCAACATACATCAGAAGTGTTGCATCATGTTCTTTCTCAACTTAAACTTATTATATCATCACATACATCACAAGTTTTGACACTGCTTAGTCATATCTATATAATAAAATTCAACACGTGTGTATGTCACATAAACTGCTGGTCACATTGACTTCTAAGTGGTATCAAATGAGTTTACATAAACATACAATTTTTCACTCCACCCCCCTTGGAGAACTCAGGGATTTCTCAAAATACCCTTCTCCTAAACTGCTGGATTCTCCAACTTCTAAGTGTGCCAAATGGATCATCTCGGCCCTGAGGTTTACACAAAGATAATACTTTTCACTCAACTCCTCAGGAAACATGGGTATTTCACAAAAACACTTTTACAGGGATTCCCCCAAAACAGACCCCAAATTTGGCATTGATATATAGCAAATAAGTAGGCCTACTAATTACCGTTCATCACTTAGTTAAAGAAATTAAATTTGCATTATAGCAGCAATTATCATTAAACTGAAAAAGTGCAAAGCAGTAGTTCAAGCATTAAATTTGCATTACAGTGGCCCTGTAAATGTAGGCCATAGGCCCATGGGTCTATTAAAAACATAAGCTATGCTTGATATTTTCCAAACTGTTAATTATTTCTTACCTAATACAGTTCCACAGGACACAAGGAAACCACAAAGCCACTCCTAATTCCACAATTCGAAACATCACATCATGACAGTTACGACTCAAAACAGGGACCCTATTTATGGTTTATCAAAAAAAAATCTTAAATATAGATCTTGAATTAATCTTGCTTATAAAATATAATATTTAAAGAAGAAAAATTCAGCATAGTATATTTCTATATAAGCTTTAAAAATTTGCTTTAAGTTCAATCTTAAGACTACTAACTTATCTCTCCAAGAACTTCCAAGGGTGTCCGAGATGATAAAAGCTACAGTGATGAGAAGTAATACTCCTTGAGAAACAAGTCCTAGTCTGGACTGATGAAGCTGAGAAGTATTTATAGTTGTTGTGGAATTCTTGATGAACTCTCCTTGAAGCTGTAACAAAAGAATTATAATGAGTATTTATAGTTGTTGTGGAATTCTTGATGAACTCTCCTTGAAGCTGTAACAAAAGAATTATAATGAGTATTTATAGTTGTTGTGGAATTCTTGATGAACTCTCCTTGAAGCTGTAACAAAAGAATTATAATGAGTATTTATAGTTGTTGTGGAATTCTTGATGAACCCTCCTTGAAGCTGTAACAAAAGAGTTATAATGATTTGCTTTTCCAATTGTTTTTGCAATTTATTATTTCTTTTTATTAATTGTCTTCAGAAATTCACATGGTCACGACAGTGAAAAGTATTATATTTCAGCTTTTATGAAATTTTTATCTTTGTCAGCAAAAAAATTTTACATAATTTTAATTCTTGGACAAAAGATTACTTTGAATTGAGTAGAAAGGTTTCCATATTTATGCTTTCATAACCATCACTACCACTAAAAAAACAAAAAAACAAGCTGGGTCCATTGTTTATATATTTGCATACACTGAATGTGTGCATAGAAAATTCAATAATTGCAAGACACATTAATAACCCAAGAAATATATGGAGGTTATAAAAGTGGAAGTCTTGTCAAAAAGTATAAGGATAAATTTTAGTATATAATGAAAATAAATCATAATACTATAATTTCTAGATTATCCCAGGAAACCAGACATTATTCTTCATTTTGATGTAGCTACTAAGTGAAACATTAAAACTAATAAACTAGCATATATTAACATCAAGGCCGAGATCTCAAATTAGTACAACATAACAGCAAGTGCCATATGTCACAAAACCAGAAGTAAAAAATAAACTATGGCATTTATTGAAATTCATAAAAAAATATAATAACCTTAGTTTACTATAAGTTCATTATAATCATCTTTAGAATTATTATTTTCTGTATCTTCTTAATTTCTTGGCCCCCCAGTGGCACAGCGATATGTCTGCACACCTACAATGCCAGAAACTGGATTTCGATACATGTGGTGGGCAGAACACAGATAGCCCATTGTGCAGCTTTGTGCTTAACTACAAACAAACAAACAAGCCTCAATTTCTTGTCACTAGAGCTTAAACATGCCTAGGAATACAAAACCAATAAACAATGGAAACTAAGCTTCATAAATAATTTTTATATTATACTTAAGGATTTTTTTAGCAGAACAGAGAAACATAAATACATTACTTATCCACTTATAATACTAAAGTCAGTGTTTTTGTTGTTATATTCAACTCTGGTGACACAAAGTAAAAGTGTTTTTTTTTAATTATTGACCTTTGTTTATGTATTTTGAAGCTTCTATCTTCAAAAGTAAGTTGTCACTTCCTAGTTCAGAATCACCTAGCCTTTAAAAATATATTATTAAAAATAATTTATATCTTACCTTAAAATACATAAGAGTTCCATAAACAAGAAAAAAAATTAGTACAATGAGCATGAGACCTGCATAGAGTCCATTGAACACACTGGTGAAGAAACTCTGCAATAAAAAACTTCAAGGTATTAAAACATCGGTCTTTGCAACTGAGATACTATAAGCTTAGTTAAACTAACATTTTACAGCAATAATCTAAAACCTAGCTGTGTTTTAATGTTTAACAAAGAACTAGATTTCAGTTACGCAGAATTAATAGGAAACTTTTTAAGTGTGTTATGTTGTGTAAGGAATATATCATAACTTTATATTTTACCATTCTTTTTCACTTTGATTTCCATCTTCAAATAAATTAATTTTAATGTGACAATGTTAAATTCAGTGTCTTCATTATTGGTTCTAATTCCTAACAGAAAAAAGGTAAGTTTAGTTTAATCTTATTAAATCTTATTATTACTTCTACCTCCTAACTGAAACAAAGAAAGTTCAGTATAAACTAACAACTGCATAAAAATGTTAGATCTTATCACTTCTACCTCCTAACTGAAACAAAGAAAGTTCAGTATAAACTAACAACTGTATAAAAATGTTAGATCTTATCACTTCTACCTCCTAACTGAAACAAAGAAAGTTCAGTATAAACTAACAACTGTGTGAAAATGTTAGATCTTATCACTTCTACCTCCTAACTGAAACAAAGAAAGTTCAATATAAACTAACAACTGTGTGAAAATGTCAGATCTTACCTTTTCATTGTCACTTCGATTTCCCAGCTGAAGCAAAAGCAGTTCAGCCAGAAGTAATGAATATGTAATTATGTTAAAGGCCAGAAAACCAAAAAATGATTTGTCGAGGAAAGAAAACTTATCTAGTGTCTTGTCCTGCAAGTGGAATATCTTTAAATGAGAAAAAAAAAGTCAACTTTAATAACGATTTTGTTTGTAAGCTATGTTTTCATCAAATAATAGTTGTTTCTACCAATTTATTTGTAAGTCTAATAAACACAAGGAAAAAAATATATAAATATGTAGATACACTTTAAATTGTTCATAATTATGCAAGAAATGATTCTACATTGTTCAGAATTTCATAAAAGATGGTTACAATAGTTTTATTTCAAAGAGTTGCCAGTAGACCAAATGATGCAAGAGCTGTTAAAACTCCTGTCAAACACACACATACACACACATATTTACATTACCATAAAATAAATTGTTAAAAATTATTTGATTGGTTAAACAAATTAATTTTACTGTTTAAGCATTTCTAGTGGGAATAGCTGAATACTCCACAAGAAAAATATTCAGTACCAAGCAGTGAAAATTATATCATCAGATATAGTTATATCATCAGGGAACATGAATTAATATTTGTTGTTATTTAAATCACTTTATGAAATTCATGATGTGGTTTAATCTGTAAAAAAATTTATAACTAAAATTGCATAATAGAGAGGTCAATCTAAAACATTTCTTAAGATAAAATTTTTTAATAATGTTCCAAGAGACAGAATAAAAAGTATTATGAGTGAAGGTTCAATGATTAAAGAACATGAATCTTTGATGGAGAATAGGCATTTCCTAAATTAAAAATAAATGCTTATCACAAATTCTCTACTGCTCTTGTTTATCTTACACAAAGTAAAAAGCATTCCAGACAGAGCCTGAAATACAAACTAATTCTCACTTTTACTGTTAACTGTGTTTCACTTACCTCTGCCCAAAAGCAGACAATGAGAGAGGAACCTGTAAGGAGAAGTGGATAATAAGCACTTAATAAACTAGATGTCCATTGAGGTGTTGCATTCTCCTGTAAAAGAAAAAAAAAGACACAAAGTATTTAACTATTGGTAAAGTTAAGATTTTTCCTTACCTGAAAATGTCTTTCCAATAGATACTCACCTCTTCACTCAGAATAGCTTGATCATTTGAGCATCTATGAATGTGATTTGCATACAAATAGTCTTAAACTAATTCACACCTAAAAATCATGTGTTTAATGTGAACTGCACTAATGTATCATGACACCATCATGCAACAATAGCCCTCCACCAATAGGAAGGTGACACAACATCCTTGCACAGTAGTTCATCTTAAGCATGTGCACTAACTTCATTCATAAACAAAGAAAGGACACTGAAGTGGGGAGAATGGGTAGGAAGGTGTTAGAGGTGAGAACCTATCCGAAACACATTTTCAGGTAAGGAAAATATTAACTACCGAGACAATACCTCCCCTCCACATGCAGAATCCCACACTAAAATGGTGGAGGGACTGGTGCAATCATTCAACGTAGATGGGTTCCCTTGCAAAAACACCCAAAGAGAAAGCCCATTGAGTGTGACATCCAATGGCAGGGACTCCATAGGGGCACATCTCTTGGAGAATACATCTTGTATCCACCAAGGTATACTATATTCTTTGAACAGAATGGAATAGATGGAAGCGAAAAAAGAGCCCACAAGTGTTGCAGAGATGGATGGAATCTGATCATGATCAATCTATCACCCAAACACACGTGGTCAACAAGCTAATAAGTCTAGTGTGGTTAGGCCAATCAGACTATACAGTGTCTCACTGACTCAACTGGACAGACTCTTGTTGCAGAAGTAGGGCACACTAGCTGTTTGAGGGGTGACCCACAGTACACAGACAGTGTCACAACTGCCCTACTTCCCACATGTGCTGTGCACAAGCAGTACAGAACCCTCCAAGAAGGTCCACCACCCCAATGGCTAAGAACTGGTAAGTGGAAAGGGTCTCCCATGATCCACTTGATCAGGAGGGGTGATTCATAGTGGGGAAACCAAGAAAAGTGCCCAGATCTCCATTTAACACCTGCCAGAAAGGTCTTTTACTGGAAACAGTGCAACAAGTGATTGTAAAACTCTATTTTTAAAAGCCAGCAGATGCAAGCCAAAAAAGTGGGCAGACACTTCCCTGGTATGACTTTTTCTATGACTGTCTATGAGTGGTACAGTCTGGATTGGACAATTGACTCAATTTAAATACTAAAAGGATACCTCCAGTCCCATTGCCGAATACACCAACTCAACAGTGGGCACAGGTAGAGCTAGGGCAGATGGGTTGAGTGCTTTCTGTTACCCTTGGTCTGATGTGGATTTTTGGAAATAAGCATACCCTGGGAGGCTACACCAGCCACCTGGCAGGATCCTATAAAAAAGGAAAAGGTGCTGAAAAAGAAAATGTACTTACCATTTTTAAATATGGTAAGTAGTTTTATTGAAGAAAAGTGCCAAGAAGGAATCAAAATCCCACAGAAGATGAAACAAGCTTCCCAAGCAGCCAGTTTTAGGAAGAAGGCCTGAAATAGAGAAGGAAGGAAGTGCAGTGAAAGAGAGCATATAGAAACAAAAATGACAGTGACAACAGGTGAGAAAGAAAAAAAAACTTAGGCTTCAGAGAAGGGAGTAATAATGAACATCAAGCCAATGGTCCAAACAGAACAAGTATAAGTGCGTGTAAAACCAAGTCAAAGTCCTAGTCAAACATGGGAGTAGGACAAGTGGGTCAGTGAACAAGGAAGAATCAGAACAAAGTGTAGAAGACAGGAGACAAAAACTGACAGCAATGGGAAAGGAGAAATGTAGTTGATAAAGTCACCTAAGAACCAGCAATATAGAAACCAACAATCCAGGGTCAAATAACCACATGAAAAAGCCCAAAAAGTGGGTTACAAAACGATGGAACAATATTGAAATACCTGCCACTTTTGTTTATAGATGAATGGAATTGAAGGATGACAGGAATGATATAAGAAAAAGGTTTATACGATCAGAGTCCAACCCTGTGGGCAATGGAGTGGACAAATCCCACATGTGAAGATGAAGAGACAACATTCCTGCATGAAAGAGAAATGTGGAAAAAGCAAGAGGTAGTGGGAATGGGGCCTGGATCCAATAGACAAAGCAGAGGAAACCATTGTTGTGCCAACCAAAAAGGCACCACCAACAGGAACTAAAAAGGAGTGTCACATATCAGAGCAAAGTCAAGAAGGAGAAGACGACTGGGGGATATGGAATACAGGATGAGGTGAGACCAGTTCTGGCTGAGAGTATCGACTGCTCAGGCCGAAGGATGAGAAACTGGAGACCCAAAGAGTGTTAAGTGGTGAAGATGTTAATAAGAGGCATGCCCAACTGAGCAAACCCAATGAAAATCCTGAGGGTGGAGAGACCAATCCATGGTTAGAACCCTATCTGGCTGAGAGAGGTGATTCACCATCAAGTTCAAAGCCCTTGTGGTAAAAGGGAAGCCAGAGTTCCCAAAAGAAAAAAAAATCTCATGTGCATGAGAAGCATAAATCTAGGTGACAAGACACTTCATTGTTTGCAAACAAAAAGGATAAGGCTAAACCCAACTGAGATGAGAGTAGAAGATGTACCAAGTAGAGGACGAGCATGAGAAAAGACTTGAAAGGCTTAACAAGCTAGCCCGGCCGAACAGCCCCAAACAGAAGAATGCAGGTGTAAAGGAGGAGTCCACTCACTAATGGGCAAGGAGAAGCTAATCTTTCATATAACAGTGGAACCTAAGCCCCAGTTTATGAACAAGAAAGATGAATCCCCATGACTCAAAAAAAAGGACATAATACAGAGCAGATGCAATGTCAAAGTGAAGAGCATAAAACTGGATGACCCAAATCCAATGGATGAAACAAAGAAAATGTCTGGAGGACAGAACAATTTGAATGTGTAAAAAGGTGTCCAAATGTTGACCTTGGTCATCCACAGTCTGGGTGAAAAGAACCACCAGAGAGAAAATAAACCCCCCATATGGAAACTAGGGATGAAAGATGAAAGGTCAATAGCTAAGATGCCAGTCTCCAGTCCTCTCAGGGACCACAAAAATACAAGAGTAATAACCAAGAGTTGGTGGAAATATATTCTCGATGCCATTCTTGGCCACAGACCTGAGATCACATCCTTGAGACACTGAAGTTAAAGGTGAACAGAGGGAGGAGGAGAGGAAAAGGGAAGGAGGTGAAAAGAAGTGGAGGGATAAACTCTTGGTGAGAACCTGAAGAACCCATCTGTCAGAAAAATGGAGACCAAAGTCTGGAGCAGAGAGACAGATAGGCCCTAACAGGGCCAGACCTGAAAGGGTAGTCACCAACAAAATGAGCAAAAACCCTGACATCAAGATGTAGGAGGGTGAGAAATAGAAGAAGGCCAGGAAGCTGTAATGGGAAGAGAGACGTGGATTCAGCAGGTCTAGGAATAGGAAGAAAATAGATCAGAAACCATAGTAAACAATAAGGACTAATGCTGGAGCTGCCTCAGCACAGGTTTTCAGTGAGTCAGGAACACCCCTGAAGACCTTAAAGCAAAAAATGGTGCCCAACAAAGATCATGAAAATAACCAGGAGGTAGGTATACATTAGCTAGGAGAGCATCTCGTCCCACCAAGTCCTAACAGAAGAGGAACCAAGTAAGGAGAGAAAGAGCAGAAGAAGTACGAACCAATGTAGTGAAAAGAAGAGAACAAACCTCTCCATAAAACTCCTCCTGGGAACGATGAAGTGCCTCTGACATAAGGTGAAGTGACGAGAGGTAATGCAGAATGGTAGTAAGAAAGAGACAAAGGCACAAAAATTGGGTACTAGAAAGAGAAGTTAAGAGGTCCATCCCCCAAAAAAGTAAAATAAATTCCAAAGATTGAGAATCAAGAAAGGGAAATGAAGAATGGCAGTAATCCAAGACAAAATAGTCAGGGAGATGAGGAGGACAAGGCATTTTAGTATGGGTATACAGGTGTTTGAGAAACAACAAACCTGTATGGACTCTTAATGTCAAGTGAATGACGGAAGACAAAATAGTCTCGAGTATGGGTTGCAAGTATTAAAGCAGAGAGAAATTAAAAGACAATGAGGAAAGAGAAAGAAAAGAACATACCTGCAAAATCATGCCAAACTAGAGATGAAAAGAGTGAGGATTTTCCTCCCCAGATAAAGCTGTGACTAGAGCATACCCTGTCAGGGAAGAGATCTTGTCAAAATCGTCATCATCCTAATCATGTTCAAATTGGGGAGAAGGAATGTTGGCTGAATGAACAGGAGAAGGAGGCCAGTTTGCATGAAGGAACCCACAACAAATTGAACAATGGCTGTCATGATGTCTTCTACAGACAACAAGCACCCCAACAGCCACAAAAGTCTCAGGTCCAGTGTTAGGAACATCATCACTAATGGAACAAAGCAGAAGTTACACCATCACTTGAAAATTCATAATGGGTAAACATGAAAAAAGTTATCTTGTTTAGTTACAAAAGAAATCAGTGAAACTTAACCGAAAGTTACGTTTCATAAACTATCATAAATCTCAAGTAACTGACTAATAATATTAAAAATAAATCCATTTTAGACAATGCAAAAAAATAAAAAGTTATTTGGACCAAAAGTGCAAAAAGGTTGTGTCACCAGCCTATTGGTGAAAGGCTACTGTCACATGATGATGTCATCATGCACTAATGCAGTTCACGTTAAATAAGTGCTTTTGAGGTGGGTGTTAGCTCAAGGTTAGTAGCATGCAACTCTCATAAGCAGACACGAGAGATCAAGCTTTTCTGTGTACAGAGGCAAGGTATCATCTTGGAATTACAGTTTTCTCTGCATCAATTAAAAAAATATATTTGTTTACAGGTTTGATTGTCAGCTTATTTGCTATAATAATTTATTGTTTCTATCTGAATATATATTGTTACAGTATACACCAATGTAAGATTACTTTTACACCACTCATTAGCAAAATTTTTTCTTGTAGTGAATCAGCATTATATTCAATGCATATGTCAACAACAAGAAGTACTGTTATTCTCTGGGTTTTGTGAAATTTGTTTTTAATCAAAACTACCTGCTAAATCAATTTTTCTCAAAAAATTAGGATTTCACAGTAATTACAAAATTACTTATCTCCACAGTTTCTATGTCAGAAATATTATTTTCAGACAACTAATAATGGTCAAGAGAAGTATTTCAAATACATGACAGAAGATTGATGTTGTTTTCATGTATCCTACCAGTGGATGGGCTCTGCATCAAGCTGAAGTTACACCATTCAAAAAGATAAAATATAGCT